AGAACTGTTAAATGCTGATAACAAAACGTAAACAGGAAACGTTGGAACCTGAAAGTAACCTATATAAAAGACATGATGAAGTGTGAATGAACTGTAGCGTCTCGGCGCTGCTGTGAACGCGCGCTAATTTGCATACCCGTGAGCCCCCGCGGTGGGCTCGTTATTTTGGTGTTTAATGTCTTTGTTTTGCTAGATGAAGTATTTGTTGTTAGTGTTTGAATGTGTTACACGTTTGTCTGTGCCCGTATGCGTTATATCTGCACATTATTTTGCATTTGTATTGTTCACCGTCCGGCTGAAGACCTGTGGGATTTGTTACCAAAGCTGGTTTTGTTTTCGTTTTATTTTAACGGGTGTTATAGTTTGACGTGTGGCGCATGCGTAGTGTTCTTTATAATCTCAGGTTATTCTTGTCCATGTGTTTGCAGTTGTAGTCCAAATGTATCAGTGTGTGACGTGTTGTTTGCTGTGAGATGCTTCTTGGTTCATCACGTTTGTAAATAGTGGTTATTTGCACTACTGTAGCCTTCCTGTTAGTTAGAAGCAGGCTGGCCATTATTCTCTGACCTCTCTAATCAGCAAAGCATTTCCATCTGCAGAACTGCAGCTAACTCAGTGTTTTCTGTTTTTCGCAAATTTCTGTGTAAACTCTAGAGAATGTTGAGCGTGAAACTCTCAGGAGATCAGCAGTTTCTGAAATACCCAAACCAGCCTGTCTGGCACCATCAGCCATGCGACAGTTATAATGACCAAGATCACATTTCCCCATTCTAGTGTTCTATTTTAACATGAACTGAAGCTCTTGACCCGTATCATCAACACTGCTACCACATACTTGGCTGATTGGATAATTGCATGAATGAGCAGGTGTACATGTGTTCCTAAAAAGTGGCTGGTGAAGTAGTATAGTAGTATAAGTAGTGTCATAGCAATTAGATAGATAGATTGACTGATAGATATTTGGAGATGTACAGATAATCTAGGTAGCTAATATAGATCAGAATCACCTTTATTGCCGAGTACTGTAGGTTTACATGTACAAGGAATTGGTCTTGGTGTACTTGTGCTTAGTAATAACAGAGTAATACAAGAAATAAAAATCATATTAATAAGGTAAACAACTGTAAGTATAAATATAGAAATATAAAAATTGAGGAAAATAAAATAAAAATAGAGACATTAACTGTACATTGGTGAAGGATGCGCAAAAGTGGGCCAGTGCAAGTGCTCACAGTTTGAGGTGAGAAGGTGCAGTATAGCAGTCTGAGTTATGTGTGTTAATGTAACGCATATGAAACAGAAAAGTGGGGTTTTTCATTAATGTAATGTGTAATGTCCATGGAGGCGGATAAGAGACCATGGTGGATCCTGGGAATTGTCGATAAGGCCAGTTGCAGATGGAAAGAAACTGTTTTTGTGGTGTGAGGTTTTAGTCTTGAGGGGAGTGCCTCGAAAAGTTTGTGTCCAGGGTGAGAGGGGTCAGCCGCAATCTTAACTGCCCGCTTCAAGGTCCTGGAAGTGTACAGGTCCTGAAGAGGTGGCAGATTGCAGCCAATCACCTTCTCAGCAGAGCGAATGACATGCTACAGTCTGCTTTTTTCCATGGCAGTGGCAGCAGCGTACCAAATGGTGATGGAGGAGGTGAGTATGGACTCGATAACGGAGGTGTAGAAGTGCACAATCATTGTCTTTGGTAGGTTGAACTTCTATAGATATAATTATGTAATTTAATTGGTGGGCAGGGGCAGATTAACAGGGATCAATAACCAAATGTGTGGAAACAACACCAGATTAAGAGTGTTGTTTGTTTTGACATTTGTTTCAAGCAAATAAAATGCCCATAACACTAATAAGTCCTTGCATAATTAACTTAATTGTTTTAAATATTTATTTTATTTAGTATATATTGAACTGAAAACAGGAACTAACTTGCCTTGCGGATGGTCCACAACATTAAATCTAACTATAAACCGTTAAAAAGCGTGATGTGTCGTTCATTAATAGATTAAATGTTGTAATTGTTGGGAAATCACTGTGGTATAAGCAGAACAACACACTCCAGACCTTGCTGTGTGATGTGACACAACGTGCAAGCGGCGTGCCGCTAACCGGCCCCCCATGCCCAGCCCAAAAGTGTTACTATTATTAATTCTATAGTAACAGCTAATTCCATGGTAACTTGCCCTTACACCTCATTCAGAACTTGCCTCCTTGCACATTAATGACTAATTACTACATGCACCTTTACTTTCTCTACCAGATATATATACACCTCATATCTCTGTACAATGTACCCTGTATATTTGTACACGTTGTCATTTGCACTGAGCTGGTCTCTACTTTCTCTGCCTCATACCTTGCACATGTATATGTATATGTACATGTGCAAAGTATGAATAGCAATATGTCTATACATGTATATATATATATATATATATATATATATATATATGTAGACATATTGCTATTTACACTTCAGGTTAGATGCTAAACTGCATTTCGTTGGCTCTGTACTCATACCCTGCACAATGACAATAAAGTTGAGTCTAATCTAATCTAATCTAATTCACAGGGACTTGTATGGTTGATGCACTACATAATCTAAGATGAAAATGTGTTGTTATTTAACAAGGAAAAACATCCATCCATTTGTACCACTTATCCTGCACAGGGTTGATGGGAGCCTGGAGACTATCCCAGGGGACTTGGGGCACAAGGTGAGGGACACCTTGGACAGGGTGCCAGCCCATCACAGGACACAATCATATACACACTTACACACAATTTGGAAATGCCAATCAGCCTACAATGCATGTCTTTGGACTGGGGGAGGAAGCCAGGGTACCTGGAGGAAGCCCCCAAAGCATGGGAAGAGCATGCAAGCTCCATGTACACAGGGTGGAGGCAGGAATCAACCCCCAACGCTGGAGGTGCAAGGCAAATGTGCTAACAGCTAAGCCACCGTGCCCCCCAAGGAAACATTTTCTGTGTGCAGATGTTTAATTAACATTAAGGGAAGGAGTCTCCTGTGTCAGGAGAATCTTCAGGTTTATGGCTTCTCAGTTACCTGACATGCTGGAGGTTTTTTTTGTCTTCCAGAGAGAGGCTAGTAAGGGAACGACTGTTTATAGCTGGTATAATGTAAGCTATAACTAACTATCTTGTCCCCCGGATGTTCCACAACATTAAATGTACCTATAAATGGTTAAAAGTGTGATGTGTTCATTAATAAATTCCACTTGGTGTGTGGCTGTTCCACACCACATCTTCAATTCTTCAAGCTTAGGCCATAGCAAAAAGTGTTAGTATTAACCATGCCTTTTAAAATTGAACTATGTTTGGAGGTTTAATACGGATTAGACTACTGATATTAGTTGACTTGGAATAGGGCCCTAGGTAGTACACATGCTTGTGTTGAATGTGAACACACCCCGAACATTTCGGTGTTACACTATTTCAGTCCCCCGTTCACACAGCCTAGCGTCGCAAACACTGCATTAGCATTAATTTTCTTTCTTCTCGCTGCATTTCGAGATCTCTTTCTGCTTATTTGTACACTATAACATAGAGAAAAGGCTGTAGAAATTATTTATTATTTATAAATTTACCTATTCAGGCAGTCAATACATTATAGGGCATATTATTTTGGCTAGCTATCTGGTTTCTCGATGTTAAGGTTAGCTAAATTAGCTACATATGCTACTAGCAGCTGCTGCTTAATAACGTGTAATAAGATTAGCGAAATTAGAAACATTTCGGAAACAAAACTTGAAGACATATGAACGAGGCAAAAATTCAGATCCAGGAGTTTTAACCTGCTATTCAGGTGTATGCTTGAGGGATAAAACGTAAAGAACCAGGAGCACGGCGTTGTCTTGTTTAGCTATCTACTTCAGCTCCAGCTACTCATTCACCCCGAAGATGTCTGAAATCATCCTGACGTTTCAGACCCAGCTGTCTGGAGTCATGGAGACAGTCTTTAAGGCTGCTATATTTGAGATCACCAGGCTGGTGGAGGACAGTTTCCTGGAGGAAGTGTCTCGGAGCCGTGAGCAGGTGGAGTCTCTGAAGAAGAAACTGCAGTGGTCTGAGAGCAAAGGCAGGAGAAGATGTGCTGAGTGTGGCAACACCAAAGTGGCCAGTGAAGAAAGACGAGAGAAATCATCTCCAGCACAACCAGGTACATCTACATATCTTCAGGGAATATCTTCAGGGAGCAGGAGTTAGATCATGGTTATGGTTCTGCTCTAGTGATCTGAAGGTGGATAAATCCACATTGAACACATCTCTATTGAGATGTTTAGTGATGTGCTCAGTGATTCTGGTGCTACTTTGGTAGTTGGTGCTGTTTTTGCATTATTCCTGTGAGAAGTTAGTGGTTGTGGATCCACAGCCTGTCCCAGGAATACTGAGCGCGAGCTGGGAATACAGCCTGTGCACACTGGAACGAAATGTTGTACCATGGTGATTGAGATGTCGATGAGACCTAGGGACAATTTAGAGCAGCTAATCCAATCCATGCTTTTGGGATGTGGGAGGAAACTAGAGAAGCTAAAGGGACACAGACACAGAGAGAACATGTGAAACTCCACACAGAGAGTAATCAGAGCTCAGGAGCGAACCAGGGATCCTGGAGCTGTGAGAAAGCAAAGCTACCCACTGCAACACAGTGGCCATGGCATTTAATAGGAGAAAATTTTCAACAATTACAAACATAAGGGATAACGGTCAGGCATCACTGTTAGCTCTAAAAAAATAAAATAAATAAAAAAGAGCAAAAGCTTCCTCCAGCAATGTTCAATGTCATTAATGAGAAATCTTTCACAGAGTATTTGTTGTTGTTTCTCTTTCGGCTGCTCCCATTAGGGGTCGCCACCACAGATCATTGGTCCGTGTATTTGATTTGGCACAGTTTTTACGCCAGATGCCCTTCCTGACGCAACCCTCCCCAATTTTATCTGGGCTTGGGACTGGCACTGAGAGCGCACTGTTGCATGCAACTCCAGTGGCTGGGAATCGAACCCGGGCCACAGCAGTGAGAGCGCAGTGGCCTAACCACTAGTCCTCCAGGGACCGATATAACAGAGCATTTGCCTATCAGAAATAATTACAAGTTTTTTTAGAAGCTGCATATCCATAGAACCCTAACCCCTTTTTTGTCTTCATGACCAGATTTACTACGATTGTTGTGAACTCTTTGCATTTCAACCATCATCCCTTAGGTGTGGAAAACGCTCGGATTCTTAAACAGGAGAGAAGTACGGAGGAGAGCTGGAGAAGCTGTGGAGTTGAGAAGGCAGTTGAACTTTCTGGAATGGTGGAAACAGAACCCGTATCCAGTCCGGTTCACGCCGCAGAGGTGAGCAGTGTACATGATTGTTCATTTGGGCCAAACATTAACTGAGAGTCAGCTTTTGTGTATATTTTTAAAATATATGTGTGTAGTCATGGTTCTGGGCGATTTTTTACTCTCTGTGTTTGTGCCCTGTACAGCATGCGGTTCAAGAGGAAGGAAAGCTGGACTGCATGCTTAAATCTGAGTCTGTTCAGACTGCCACTGCTACTGAGCTACAAGATGAGTGGAAACTGAGTACTGAAGGTATAGATTAAGATATGCTTAACCTTATGCAAGAAAAATATTGTGTGAAAATTCCTAACACTTATGAACTACATACCTTTCCTAATGGTTTCGCTGTGGTCACTGAACAATTCATTGTAAGTACTGAATAATTTGTAGTGGTCACTGAATAATGTGCTCTAAAATGAATAACTGAATAATAAGATGGAAGAATTAGGGGTTAACATAAGTGAAAGTTTAGCTGTGACAATAAATAACCCTTGCTGTAATAGCAGTGAGAGTGTTGTGTTTCTGAAAAATTCAGTTCTGATCAGTGCTCAGGACTTTTGTGTGTATTATTATAAACACTACCTTCTTAATAGAGGTTATGTTGTCTGAGTATACATAGAGCAATGCTGTTTGCTGGTTAAACGCTTACAATATTAAATATTTCATCATTAAACATAAACTTTTCTTTCTTGGTGGTCATGCATTCAAATGATTCATGATATTCAATGATAGCAATCACACACATGCAGTGACTGTTGGTTGTCTCATTGGGCCACTATAATTTCAGCACTTCTGGGGCCTCATCAATGAATAACCTCAATATTTTCACTATGTTCATTGTAGATACGTATACTCATTTATTTTTATGTATGTGTGGTTTTTTTTCCAGTAACAGAAGGCTCTGACAACTCTGCTCATAGTAAGACCTACAGTGAGCAGGAGCTGCAGCAGATTCAGAACGACTGGAGCTCTGGGTTGGACCAAGCCCCTGAGCCTGAGCAAGACATGGACCATATCCAGGGTCTGCTCTATAGAACTCGCTACAACATGGAGGACTTGGGAAGCTATAGCAACCAGGAGCTGGATATGGGAGGGATGAATGGCCTGACAGACCCTCCTCAGAGAGCTGGAGAGGTTTTGGGATTCGGGGTGCTGGCGGGTTCTTTGCAGACTGACCTGGGTACATCTGAGGAATGCAGAAGACAGCTCAAAAATAAACGAGCGAACAAAGGCTCACCATCGTTACACAACACTTCAGATACAGGTGACATGGACTGTTTGCTTATTAATGAGGAGGGCTACTTGCAGGATGTAAGTGGTCTCTCCCAGGCTCCAGGTTCACATGCCGGAGACTCACAAGGACACCCGATATACAATAGAGATACAGTTAATGATAGTACTGATTGTTTTTACAGTGGAGATGCATTCAGCCAGCAACTAGACCTGAATAATGGATCTGCAGGAATGTTGGGAGACAGAGAGGACAGGGATTATGCTTGCACTCAGTGTATGATCAGTTTCCCAGACCAGGTTTCCCTTAAAGCGCACTTGAATGGTCACCGTCATCGCAACGTCACCACTTCCTACGTCTGCAACCAGTGTGGGAAGAAGTTCCCTCAAGCCTGCAACCTGAAGGTCCACCAACGTGTACACCAGAGGGAGGGTCTGCACCTGTGCAGCCACTGCGGGAAAGGCTACACGTCCTTCAGTGACCTGCGGCGACACCGTTGCAGCCAGGCTGGAGACAAACCCTACAGCTGCTCGCTGTGTGGGAACAAGTTCAGCCGCCTGTGGAACCTCAAGCTGCACCGGCGCATCCACACGCAGGAGAAACCGCACCGGTGCAGCATGTGTGACAAGAGCTTCACCCGGGCGGACATCCTGAAGGTCCACCAGCGCACCCACACCGGAGAGAGACCGTACTCCTGCAGGGTCTGTGGACTCACCTTTAAACGCCTCGACCATCTCAGATCACACCAGCGCAAACACGGAGCCAATCTGAATAACCACCAGAACTAGTCGTCTGTTCAATAATGAAGTCTATACAACATTACTTTTATTTTGCAACAGGTGACTAATTTACAGAATTGTAGTACATTTAGTCCAAACACTGCATCTCAGTGAAGTTTGTAATGGAGGAAGGAGCAGATTAGTGTATTAAAAGAGCAGGTTAGTGTATTAATTGAGCAGACTGTTATAAAGCAGATATGATGCACTATGGACTACACACAGCTCTCCAGTGGTTTCTTTAGATAGTCTTATTTATTATAGTTGATATTGCAATTTTCATAATTTTATTTGCTCCAAAAATATTTACTGCAGGTTTCACAGTGTTTTTAAAATTATTGTGGTGTTTTTTGTGACTCCTAAAGTAATAGTTTCCAGTAGGCTTTTACAGGGCATAGAACAAGACAGCAAGATTGGCTTTAGAAACTACTAGTGGTGGCCAAATCTCAAATTTATTAGCTCACTCACTGGCCAATTGCCTGGAAACCTAACCAACTAACCGAAAGTGGTAGCTACCTGCATGTAATAATGTATGACTACCTAGTTAGGTATTTAAGTACATTAATACAGACTAAGGAAAACGAATGATTAGGCTATATGATCGTTATCTTCTTCTAACAAAGGTTCTGAGGTAACACTTCATGTTTGCAACATGTTGTTGGCCAGCTATGAACTTAATCCACCTAATAAAAATCGTCCCACCATCAACCAGGTTGTGCCTCGGCTGATGTGTGTAGTGAAGTGGGAAGACGTAGCTTGTGCTATAGTGACAGCATCAAGGTACATAACACCTCTGTGAAGCACAGTAAGTTTAATAAACATACACTTCAAATGAAAACCTAAACGAAAAGCCCAGACATAAAATCTTTTGTCCCAGGCGGCCGTTCAACTTTTGATTTGTCCACGCCTGCTATTTTTTAACTGTATAGTAAGATGTGGTATAAAACACAATGTTCGCATAGCTTGTCTAGAGCTGTTTCATTTATTGGTGTTTGTCTGAACGTTGTACATAGTGATGTGTTTCTTACATTTCTTACCCTAAAACATACGATATACCTAAGGAGTTTTCTTTGATTCTTATAAGAACTTCCAAAAGGCTAAACACACCATTTGCCTTTTGGATGTTGGACATCTTCTGTAAATCAGTGATCATGCGTAAGCTATGCATATTTGTTCAGCAATATTGTACTCCCAAAGTGTATCGAATCACACGAAAATGGATTGAGGACTAATTTGTAATTGAAATGTAATCTTTGTAATCTTTGAAAATATTAGCGAGAATCCTAGAAATCAAGCTAAAAGGCAAATCAATGTTCTAACTAGGTTTTGTGAAATATGCTTAAATATTCATACACGACTCATTCAGCAACGTGAGGACATGTAATTTTTATGCTTGCACTTGTACAAGACAGTTTGAGCTTGAAAATGAATATAGTCCTTTGCCCTGTAGAAGCCTGTGGAAGATCATTTCTTGTGTTATTCAACTTTAGAAGCACAAAATGCCCACTAAAATAATTGTAATTTTCCTTCAATGCCCTCTCGAATATTTTGCCAAGGTAGTTTGTGTCATGGTTTAAGGAAGTGAGTGTTAGTAATTTCAATATGTACTGTTTAATACTGCAGTGCCTCTGTAATTACTTTGTTTTGCAAACTGAGAACTAGTCTCTTATTTAATACTATTTTAATAATGAATGTTTTACTGAGTCATATTTACATAGTTAGTTACTTTTATCTGAGGTCTATTATTATTTCTATCAAATATATGCAGATTTTTGGTTTGTTAGGATGGTGTTTGTATTGGTCTCCCACGGATATCTGTGGGGCAGCAACTCACTGGTACATTTTTACAAACTTAAAAAGATATGCCTTTAAGTTATGTGAAGCTGATCGACAGGGGAGTCACTGTGGGGGAAAAGTGTGTGTAAGCACTCTGGACTAAAACTTTTCAAGCAATGGAGAGGAAGCCCACAGACACTAGAGATGCACAGGGCTCTGATGTTGATGTTCAATATGTGTGTCGAAAAAAAGTGAATGTACGAATGAATATTTAAACATAATACACATCTTTAATGATGATTTATCTGAAAATTACAAGTTGATCCATGTTAATGAAAATACAAGCAATTGTATAAGGTGTTGTAATAATGTGTTATAACTTGCCAGTTTATTAGGTACACCTACCTTGTGACTACATACAGTCTATGGGGCTGTAGCCCATTTGTTACTATACATAACATCTCACCCTTTTCTACTGCGGATATAATCTAGTACAGATACACTTAACAGATCATTTTGGACTTAGCAGATCATTTTTAAAGAAAGTATGCCAGAAATGTTCACAGAGTAACTGGTTGAGATTAGAGCGTACATTTACATGAACAGCGTTTGGCAGACGCCCTTATCTAGAGCGACTTTCAGAAGTGCTTCGTAGTCTCCATCAAAAACACACAATCATGCTAGTTCACTAGGTCAGGGACTAAGAATGACAGAAAGAAAAACCATGTTGGGGAGGTTAATACAGTATGAAAAGAAAACAAACCAGACAAGATATTTTAAAAAAATTACAGATTAACAAAGTGCTAAAACAAGGGCTTGGTGAAGAGATAGGTCTTTATTCTTCATTTGAAGACAGCCAGGGGAAGTTCATACTACCACCAGTGTGCCAGGACAGAGAAGAGTCTTGATGCAGGTCTTTCTTCTACCTTGAGAGGGATCCTGG